TTCCTTATGAGTGGCGGTCAGGGACGAGCGATGATCTTTTCCTACCAATCTATACCCTTAGGAGCATGTGCATAGTACTTCTATTCAATAACTAATAGATTTTTGCAATAAGTATGTGAGTTCTTTATGACTAATGTTGAGTCCATGGATTATACACACTCTCACCTCCCACCATTGCTAGCCTATCTTGTACCGCGCAACTTTCGCCGGTACCATACACCCACCATATACCTTCCTCAAAACAGCCACCATACCTACCTATTATGGCATTTCCATAGCCATTTCGAGATATATTTCCATGCAACTTTCCACCGTTCCATTTTTATGACACGCTTCATCATTGTCATATTGCTTTGCATGATCATGTAGTTGACATCGTATTTGTGGAAAAGCCACCATTCATAATTCTTGCATATATGTCACTCTTGATTCATTGCACATCCTGGTACACCGCCGGAGGCATTCATATAGAGTCATATTTTGTTCTAAGTATCGAGTTGTAATTCTTGAGTTGTAAGTAAATAAAAGTGCGATGATTATCATTATTAGAACATTGTCCCATGTGAGGAAATAAAAAAAAGAGGTCAAAGAAGCCAATAAAAAAGGCCAAAGAAGCCAAACAAAAAAATGAGAGAAAAAGAGAGAAGGGGCAATGTTACTATCCTTTTACCACACTTGTGCTTCAAAGTAGCACCATGATATTCATGATAGAGAGTCACTTACTTTGTCACTTTCATATACTAGTGGGAATTTTTCATTATAGAACTTGGCTTGTATATTCCAACGATGGGCTTCCTCAAAATGTCCTAGGTGTTCATGAGCAAGCAAGTTGGATGCACACCCACTTAGTTTCTTTTTGAGCTTTCATACACTTATAGCTCTAGTGCATCTGTTGCATGGAAATCCCTACTCACTCACATTGATATGTATTGATGGGCATCTCCATAGCCTGTTGATACGCCTAGTTGATGTGAGACTATCTCCCTCTTTTTGTCTTCTCCACAACCACCATATTCTCTTCCACCATAGTGCTATGTCCATGGCTCACGCTTCATGTATTGCATGAAAGTTGAAAAGGTTTGAGAACATCGAAAGTATGAAACAGTTGCTTGGCTTGTCATCGGGGTTGTGCTTGATTTGAGTATTTTGTGTGATGAGGATGGAGCATAGCCAGACTATATGATTTTGCAGAGATAAGCTTGCTTTGGCCATGTTATTTTGAGAAGACATAATTGCCTTGTTAGTATGCTTGAAGTATTATTGTTTTTATGTCAATATTAAACTTTTGTTTTGAATCTTATGGATCTTTAGTATGCTTGAAGTATTATTGTTTTTATGTCAATATTAAACTTTTGTTTTGAATCTTATGGATCTGAACATTCTTGCCACAATAAAGAAGATTACATTGATAAATATCTTAGGTAGCATTCCACATAAAAAATTCTGTTTTTATCATTTACCTACTTGAGGACGAGAAGGAATTAAGCTTGGGAATGCTTGATACGTCTCCAACGTATCTACAATTTTTGATTGTTCCATGCTATTATGTTATCTGTTTTGGATGTTTTATATGCATTAATATTCTATTTTATATTATTTTTGGGACTAACCTATTAACCGAGAGCCCAGTGCCAGTGTCTATTTTTCCCCTTGTTTTTGAGTTTTACAGAAAAGGAATACCAAACGGAGTCCAATTGACCTAAAAATTTACGGAGATTGTTTTTGGACTAGAAGAAGCCCACGGAGCATCGGAGATGGACCAGAAGAGTCCCGAGGCCACCACAAGGGTGGAGGGCGTGCCCTACCCCCTGGGCGCGCCCCCTACCTCGTGGCTACCTCGTGGACCCCCCTGACTTGTTCCTGACGCCAACACCTCTTATATATCCCCAAACTTCTAGAATAGAACCAAGATCGGGAGTTCCGCCGCCGCAAGCCTCTGTAGGCACCAAAAACCAATCGGTACCCTTTCCCAGCACCCTGCCGGAGGGAGGATCCATCACCGGTGGCCATCTTCATCATCCCGACGCTCTCCATGACGAGGAGGGAGTAGTTCACCCTCGGGGCTAAGGGTATGTACTAGTAGCTATGTGTTTGATCTCTCTCTCTCTCTCTCTCTCTCTCTCTCTCTCTCTCTCTCTCTCTCTCTCTCTCGTGTTCTTGATGTGTCACGATCTTGATGTATCGCGAGCTTCGCTGCTATAGTGGGATCTTATGATGTTTCTCCCCCTCTACCTTCTTGTAATGGATTGAGTTTTCCCTTTGAAGTTATCTTATCGGATTGAGTCTTTAAGGATTTGAGAACACTTGATGTCTGTCTTGCATGTGCTTATCTGTGGTGAGAATGGGATATTCACGTGATCCACTTGATGTATGTTTTGGTGATCAACTTGCGGGTTATGTGACCTTGTGAACTTACGCATAGGGGTTGGCACACGTTTTCGTCTTGACTCTCCGATAGAAACTTTGGGGCACTCTTTGAAGTTCTTTGTGTTGGTTTGAATAGATGAATCTGAGATTGTGTGATGCATATCGTATAATCAAACCCGCGGATACTTATGGTGACATTGGAGTATCTAGGTGACATTAGGGTTTTGGTTGATGTGTGTCTTAAGGTGTTATTTTAGTACAAACTCTGGGGCTGTTTGTGACACTTATAGGAATAGTCTGATAGATCAATCAGAAAGAATAACTTTGAGGTGATTTCGTACCCAACAATAATCTCTTCGTTTGTTCTCCACTATTAGTGACTTTGGAGTGACTCTTTGTTGCACGTTGAGGAATAGTTATATGATCCAGTTATGTTATCATTGTCGAGAGAATTTGCACTAGTGAAAGTATGAACCCTAGGCCTTATTTCCAAGCATTGCAATATCGTTTTCGCTCACTTTTGTTACTAGTTACTTTGCTGTTTTTATAATTTCAGATTACAAAAACCTATATCTTCCATTCATATTGCACTTGTATCATCATCTCTTCGCTGAACTAGTGCATCTATACAATTTACCATTGTATTGGGTGTGTAGGAGACATAAGAGACTTTTTGTTATTTGGTTGCGGGGTTGTTTGAGAAAGACCATGTTTATTCTATGCCTCCCACGGATTGATAAATCTTACGTCATCCACTTGAGGGAAATTTGCTATTGTCCTATAAACCTTTGTACTTGGAGGCCCAACAATGTCTACGAGAAGAAAGTTGTGTAGTAGACATCACACCTCTTCTTTGGCTTTCCTCGCCTAAAGAAATACGATCGTTGTAACCGCGAACTAGTAGGCCCAATATCGACTACCTTTGATGAGGAGGCAAATGAGGACAGGGATGGCGTGGATGAGGCACTTGACGAGGGTATCTTCCTCACTAATCAGTTCAAACAGGCTTAAATCACGATATTCAAGAAAAGAGCTTCTTCTTTGAGTTTTTTTGAGGAACCAGCTTCTTCTAGAGATGTCCCTAGTGGGTGGAGGTGGCTATGCTCGCAGGTGGGCTAGCCTAATCGCGGTAGCGTGCGTTGTTTTATTCCTTAGCCTCCCCGCCCAGCTCTATCAGCAGGCCCTTTCTTGTGTGGTTTTTTGTTTTGGTTTTATTTTTTCTATTTTTTATTTTCAAATTTGTTTTTCTTCTATCTTTTTTGGTTTTTTATTTATGCACATTATTATAGTTTTTTAATATATGGTGAACAGTTTCCTAATATATGGTAACAAAAATACACAATACACTAATTTATTTAATATATGATGAAATTTCCTTTAATATATATTGAATATTTTTAATATATTATGAATTGTTTTAATACACACTGAATATTATTTTAATAAAGTGAATTTTTTAATGTACAATATGATTTTATTTAAACACATAATGATAATTTTATACAATATATTTTTATTGTTATTATTTCTAAATATCTAGCTCCTAAAAATAATAGCCGGTATTTGTGGGTGAAAAACTAAAGAGAAAAAGAACCGCTCACAGGCAGAGTGGACCGGCCCATTTGCCCTGGCTTTAGGCAGAGCCTGCCCTATTTGATGCGCACTGGCGTCCAATAGGAGCTCTCGCCTAGGTGGCGCGAGAGTAAATTTGCACCGTCGAAGATCATGAAAACCAGCGTAAGTTTTTTCTTCTGCGTTGTCATCAGCTCACTATTGTTTTTTTTTTGAACATCAGTACAGACGCAAGCGCTCATACATACGCGCATATACTCACCCCTACAAACGCACACACGCAGACCCTATCCCTATGAGCACCTCGAGACAGCTCATTATTGTTGACGCCCCTAGGTACAATGTCTTCGGTGTGTCAATATTTGAGCTACGTGTTGATCCGACAACCCTGTCCCATGCACGCGCAAAACATATTGATGTTAATTTATAACTTTATTATGAGAGAGGGTAGCTTTACATGCTCCTGGGCATCAGGTTTATACACCGAACAGATATTCGGTTTGCTAGCTGAGGGTTTGACATGACTTTTGTCACATTAGATAGTTGGGAAATTTGATGGAAAAAAATCAAACTTAGTAAAGTTGTGATTCAATGAGTCTCTTAAAGTGTGTTAATATGTGGTGTAATCATGTAAACCTGCATGTCAAGATGCAAATGTTTTCTGTTGCAATCCTTTCCCAGGTTTGCTAACCGGGCTCTACATGCATAGACGTGTGTGGCCTCCAAAGAGGCTCAACGCTTCCACAGACCAATCTCCGATTTCATCATAGCCCAACAGCATCAGTCAAGCATAGATAAATGTCGCGTGATGATAACATCAACCAAGCCAGGACATAGCTACTCCCTCCGTTCCAAATTACTCGTCGTGGTTTTAGTTGGGTGTAGATCACAACAAGGGTAATCGAGTCACAGCAAAAAGAAGCAGCTAGGTACGAAAGTCGCATCGAACGCAGATAAAAGACACGAGTCATACAAGCCTTGTGCTTAGCCGCTGGCAAATTCTTCAAGCTAGCTACTCCTAACAAGTTCTTCAGAGAAACATCCAAAATGTTCTTCGATGCTCACTCACGCTCCACCAATATACCGCCTTCAGCCGGAAACGGGTCGCTCAGGGAGAGATCAGACGCGATCTGGTAGCTCCAGGCAGCCATTGGGCGCGGGAGCCCCATGAACTCCACGTTCTCATTGACACACTTCGCGGAAGGCAGCTGCGTCGCCAGCTTGCTCAATGCCTCCTTCGCCGCCGTGGGGCTCATCCCGGGGTCCAGCACCAGCACCACCCTCTTCAGCACTTGAGCCCTCGCGATCACGAACTTAAGGAATCCCAGCTCGTTGGCGCCCACGGTGAACTGGTTCAGCACCACCTTCTTCACTTGCGACTCCACGCACCCGATCGGGCCGGCCTCCTCCCAGAACGTGGGGATGATTAGCTGCTCGCCACTGGCATCACCCGCGTCTTTCTCGTCCTGCTCGTCCTCTTCCTCTTCCTTCTTGTTGGAGGACTGCAAAATCGCATGTGAATTCAGTGCAAGCAAATTCATGTATACTGCTCCTGTCCTGATGAGGCAAATTAGTTAACCGTGTATAAATCGAGCGAGATGAAGGTCACAACTCACCATGACGTGTAGGGTCTCGACTTGGGGGAAGCATCTCAGGAAACTGAGCAGGGTCTTCACTTCCTCGGCCACTCCGAAATCCACCTTCAAAGCTAGCACCTTGACACTTGGAACCACAGCATTTGGGGCCACTTTTGTTACCCCAGCCTGCAATTCAAACGAAATAACCGTAGTACAGTACTAATTCGATCCAAGTTGGAATCAATGCAAAGTCACACCATCGCATCCATCAATCAAGATTAATAATTTGTCTAACCACTGGGAGGAGAAATAGGATGGGGGAGTCGGAGCGATACCTTGATGATGGTGTTGCCGATCTGCAGCACATGGTTCGCCGTCTCCAGGTAGCCGAGCACGGTGAGCTCAGGAGCATGCCCAATCTTGACTTTGGTGGTGCGCCTAGTTCCAATGCTCTGCAGGATGAGCCGCTGCAGTCGTGGGGCGGCCACGACGTCGACCTCGTACAGCATGGACAACCAGACCAGCACGCAGCAGAGGCTGCTGCTGCTGATCGAGACGCGCGACGGGGCGATGTAGCTGAGGATGAGCGCGAAGGTCTTGAGCTCGGGGCTGCAGGCGAGCAGGTACTCCAGGTCGCGCTCCTGCATTATGGTGTGGCAGATGCCGAGCTCCTGGAGGCGGGGGAAGACGCCGGGGCCGCGTGGGGGCGCGTTGGCGCGCGACGTGTCCGGGAAGTGCCAGACGCCGAGGTAGAGGCGGCGGAGCGAGGCGCAGCGGAGGATGGACGCCGGCAGCGCCGCGTCGAGCGGCCAGGGGCGGTTGACGAGGACGAGGGTCTCCACGCCCTTGGCGACCAAGAGGCGGAGCCACTTGGCGAGCGCCTCCTCCTGGCCGGCCATGCAGTTGCTGGAGATGTGGACCCAGTGGAAGGGGCCCGGGTGGGAGGCGAGGACGCGCGAGACGGCGCCGGCAAGGGCGCTCGAGTCGAACTCGAACCCGCCTCGCTGGCCCGACGGCCGGATGAGGAGGTGGATGTCCTCGAGGACGAGCGGGGTGGAGCGCCAGAGGCCGCGCCAGCGCGGGGAGAGCGCGGCGGTGCGGGCGGCGTCCTTGGCGGGGAGGCGGGAGACGACGCCGCGCAGGATGTCGTCCGGGAGCGCGCTGATGCGGTCCTCCCCGCCGTCGTCAGAGGTGACGGCGGGGAGGGAGGCGACGGGAGAGGACGGGGTCTCCGGGAGGCAGGAGTAGAGCGCCGCCAGGATGTCGCTCAAGCCCATGGCGCCCGGCGACAGCGACGGCGATGGCCGTGGGAGCGAGGGCGCGAATGGGGGGTGATGGTTGCAGCGGAGGGCCGACCAGTGTTGAGAGGGGAGTGGCCGATCCCGAGCGGAGGAGGTCTTTATAGTGTCGGCCGGGTCGGACACTTGTTAGGGTTTGGCGATCGTGGGCCGGATAAGGGAAGCAGCTGGGCCCGCCAGTGTTTTAATGTTCTCCTCGCTTGTTCGTTTTGTTGCTACCTGCGTGCACGGCAGGGTTCTGTGAGTTAAACTAAAGTAGTAATCGTGCGACTTTGACTTATTAATTAAGATAGATCATCGGGATTGCTAATTTTCATCCGGATGAAAAGAATTCGCTTTCATCCGTTTTTATGTCCGGCCGATTCTTGTGTCAAGATTCGCATTTTTCCTTTTCTTTTTCCAGCCTCGGGGGTGTTTTATTTGTTACCGGGCCCGCAACCTTCTCCATGGAGACCCGTTAATCCCGGCGAGATCTTGGAGGCAGATAGGAGAGGGTCATGGCGATTTTGGCTGGTTATTAGCTTTGTCGTTGATCTCTGGAGAGCGAGCCAGTGGTTAGGCGTCCGGTCCTCCTCCTCCTGTTGCTTCTCCTTCAAGCGCGTTGAGGCAGAGGAGAAGTCGACGCATGGTGATTCGGCGGCGGTGTATTATCTGCTTCCATTGATTTCGTGTTGCTCCTCCTTTTGTTGTGGTGTTTTTCAAGCCTTGTGCCTCCCTTCTTCCAGCAACGAGGTTGGTTTGCTAGTATCCTTCCCCATGTCTTCATTTCGCTGCAATTTTTGTAGGATTTTGCTAGATCTAGCTTAGTGGTCTGCTTGGTCCTATGTGTAGTGGTGCATCCCAGCTCTTTTAGGTTGTTTGTGGTGGTTCCTAGATGTCCGATTTTTGTTGCAGATGGAGCAACATCTATATGTGTACAACCCTTAGATGTGTGGATGTAAATGTTCAATCCAGCTCCTAGATGTTTGGACTGTATGTGTGTATGATGTCAGTTTTTTTTGTCAGTGAGTTGGGCTGTAACTTTGAGGGAATTTTGGAGTGATTGGGACTGAATTTTACCAGTTAAGTGTTGGTGATTTTGGATTGTAGTTTTAGGTTTTATTAGTCATGGGGTACTTGGGTTGTATTTGAGTTAATATATGGAGGCAGTACACGTATGTTTCGATGCATCATGGCCCGACGCACAAATCACGACAGTATATATTCCAGAAGGACGCCGATAACGCTCACACATGTGAGCGTTAAAGGGTCTGGCCACACATCGTGTGTGGTGTGAGCAGGAGGCAGCCCACACGGATTGTGTGTGGGCGGGCATTAGAATTATCCATACTTATGAGCGCGGCTACTTCATGCCACACGCCCAACAAATACTAATCATCTCCATCCCGCGTGTGTGGCACGAAACAAAAATGCCCACACGTCCTAGCGCAGCTACGTTACGTACCCGCGGGATGACGATTTAGTTGCCATCCTGGTTGGCAGATGTAGTTATCCGGAATGGCAAGTGTAGTTGTAAAAGCATGGCAACTCTATCTGTTTTGATTTGCCATGTCTAATTTATGGTAGTCACTGGCGGAGCTATGTGTGCTCCTGGGGGTGTTGTGGGCCCCCGAGCCTAAGCAAAAAGTGTGAAGGAATTTTTTAGAGGGTTTAATGAGTATAAATTTAGTATTTGGCCCCCTCAGGTCTGCCAGTTTTACCATTTGCCCCCCTCCCCTCCTAGACTTTCTTCCTAGCTACGCAATTGCCGTGTGTGATTAACTACTTGCCACACGTGGTCAAACAGTAGTTGCCATGTCTGTTTACCTAGTTGACACGTGTGGTCCAACCATAGTTGTCATGTATAGTTAATCACAGTTGTCATGTGTGTTTATCTGGTTGCCACGTACGCAAACTGCAGTTGTCATCTAGCAAAAGAATCAGAGTTGCCATGTTTGTTTACCTAGTTGCCACATTCGCGTAACTGCAGTTGTCACCCACAACGTAGGAGTGTCGTGTGGGCGAAAATCAGTTCGCCCACATGCGCATGGACTAGGTGGTGGCTGTGTGGGCACAAACTAGTTCGCCCACACAGCGCAGCTAACAACAGCGTGATGCGTGGCGTGTGGGCAAACTCTCCAACGTCCACACACACCAGCCCCGTCCTACGTGGCATACCAAATCCACCTTTTCATGTCAAGATTCGTGCAAAAAGATAATCAACGACCATCCAGGCGTGTGGGCGAGTTGGAGAACGCCCACACGTGTAGGCGTTAGTGTTTCCGTTCCAGAAAGGTAAGTAATATACGAATACCAGCTGGCCATGCATTCGGGGAGCCCATCTCGTGTGACCGGAAATGGAAATCGACAACCAATCACAACGTGTTAGCTGGCAACTAAGTCGTTATTGTTTGTCGAGCTGATGATGCTCTAACCATGGTTGGAATCTTGCTGATAGGCCCTCGCCAGCATAAGGATTAGAAGAACATGAACATATGATGGTGGGGCTGACCACCTGAATACCAAACTTCATCTACACAACATGATCTTTTAGTTAACATCGGCAACAAAACCAACATCAATGATGAACACAATGATACAAGACTACACTATTCATACAGGTTTCGGTCAGAAACCTAATATGAACCCAAAAAAAAAAGAAACGCCATTGCTATTTGGTATGGCAGTTTTGTCAAGGAACGCATAATGCAAGGGACCCAAACTACGAGCCACAAGAAAGATTGGTTCACAAGAAGAAGCATAGGTTCCAGCTAGAACAATAGATCCAGCACGAACGTTGCATTAAACAAGTAGCGACGCTTGATTCAACAGTAAATCTTGCATCAGGTGGAGATCATGGCTTACGCGTCTTGGCACCTCGGGAAGCCCAATCTCACAAGCATCACTTTGATCATCGCGAGGCAGCAGGCTACACGGCCCTCGTGCCGCCCTGGCGCCACACATGCCCAATCAAGGAGCGTCAGCAGAATGGTCATCGCCAAAAGTTGGATCGCTGCCAACTTGAATGCACGTATATCACTCCCAGCTTGAATGCCATGTGTCCTTTTAGTGTTATACTTTTTTTTAAAAGATCCAGCACCGCTGGCATTTATTGGTAATAGCAGAGAGCAACGAAAAACAACAAGATGATGAAGGCCTTAGGACCAGAAGATCCGAGGATTAAAGAAAAAGAAAACCAACGGCCCTAGTAGCTGCAACACAACACTCCATACAATCCACACAAGACAACACAGCTCTGACTCGGACGATGAACTACGAAGAAACTAGGCAAGGTTGGCGTCACGGAGGATCACCGAATGAACAACTTGTCACATGTCATCATATACCACATGGCCCTGCCACTGTGGGTTCGACTTCATAGCAACAAGCAGTCGAGGCAGCCCCACAGACACGTCGGAGATGAAGAGCCGACTACCACAACCAATACCATGCCTCTGATATTGCTCACCACCGTCATCGTTGCCACAGAAGCCATCGTGCATGTCCAGTCATAGGAAGCACCAGAGGGATCAAGAGCTTCAAGATGATGCCCTAAAGAGGGGAACGACGTTGAAGACGACATCACCGCCCGACCCTGCAGCAAGATCTGGGCTTTCACCCGAAGAACTTGATCCGGGAGTATAGGTTGTGAAGAATCCCGACGATGACTCCAAGAAGGATAGCGACGCCCACGAGCGCTGTCGCCACCGGCCGGCCAACACCGGCCAGGCTTTCACCCGGTGCAGCCACTCCCACGCAGTAGGCCGAGGTCGACCCCGTACCTCCACTGGACTACGCACATCCCCCACCCAGCGAGCACGCCACCGTTGTGCAGGGCCATCAGCTAGCATCCTCGACGACGGGCCTGCAGAGACCAGGTCGGGTCCAGCACCCCTCATCCAACCGCGGATGGAGCCTCCCTGCTCCATCAAAGCGACAACCGAGCGCCACCACCAGCCGGCAGTGCCCCTCCCGGGCGCAGGCCAAGGCTGACAGGTACAGTTCATGGTCGGCCCGCCCGCAACTGCCGCAGCCGCAGCCTCAAACCTCTCCCACTACGCGCCGCAACCGGCCTCCGGCTTGGACAGGCCCAGATCTGGCCGGCCCGTCCGCAATCACGCATCGTCGCCTACCCAAAACGAGCCCCAGCATTGCTCGCCGGCTCTGCAGCCATCCGATGCACTCTAGGCTATCAGCTAGCCACATCCGCCACACCGGCGCAAAGGACGCTCTCTACAGCAGCAGGCCGCGCGCGCAACCCGCACCTCCGCTCTGCCTCGCGCACCGCCGACTGCGCCAGATCCGCGCAGCCCCTAGCATCCCCACGCGCCCAAGCCAGATCCGCGTAGCCCTGCTCCTGTAGCGCGCCATGGCCCAAGCACCTTGCGAGCGCGCTCAACTCGCGCTCCTCCACGCACCTCGCCTCGCGGAGCTCCAGTCCCCGCCAGATCGGGACACCCGCGCGCCGCTTGATCATGTGCGGAAGTGGCCGACGGCCCCGCCGCCGCCTACACTGCACGGGCTTTGCCCTGCTGCGTACATTGGCGGCGGCGAGGGGAGCAACTTCGGTGGGTGGCCTCCCGGCGGCGGGCTGGATTTTGCTCTCCCGAGCCGCCCGTGGGAGTGGCGCGAGAGAGCTGCTCTATCTCTGCGGATGGCTAGGAACTTTACTCTATTATTATTATCAGTGGACTGTGTGGACAGTGTTATAATTTGCAAGACTCTATGAGATCTTGTACAATGGGAGGTGCTTAGGGGAGGTGCTTAGAGAAATAAACCAGACTTTTCTTAAGCACCGGTGCCTATTTCTACAAGAGAAGTGCTTATAGAAAATAGGCAACGGTGCTTCAGAAAAACCCAGTTTATTTTTCTAAGCATCTCTCTAAGCACCTCCCA